TTTCTGCCTTTTATGTTTGCAACACAGTTATAAAGGATTGAAGAGTATACCTTTGGTGCAGTCTTCCTCTGAGGTGTGATGTTTTCTCTTTTGGTTCCACACCTCCTGGTCTCTCTTTGGGCACTTTCTAAAGGGGACCTTTTTCTTTTATTGGCCCTCTACCTGTTCAATGTGGGATTCTAGCTATTTTGTGAGTTGAGGTAAGATATCGTATCAGAAGTTAGTATTTTTCTACACTGATAATGTATTTCTGATAGATACTTAACTCTGCTCACATTTCCCACCCAGTCTCTCCCACTTCTGATAATATATGGTGTAGATCTTCTGATCAATCTTGAAGTGATTAACGAGTGCAGCTGTGAAGAGGGTGCTGAATACGATAGGAGTAGTGTCACACTCCTATTGGTGAAGAGCTGCTGCATGATCATTTGCATGTGGATATGCAGAAGTGGAAGGCTAAAGGCATGTGTTGAAAATTTGCACTGACAGAGGGCAGTGCTAGTTGAGAAAAGCTATTTCATGAGTGGGGTAAGTATCTATCGGAAATACATTTTCAGTGTAGGAAAGTGCTAACTTAAATTTCCTTCTGGTAGTGAACTTAGTAGTAAGTTAAAATTACTCTTGAAGCTGTATGCATGACAAATAAAATGTACTTAGCATTTGACAAACTTTGAAAGAGAGAATGATTACTCACATGCTCAATAAGTATTACATTGTGTTATGAACTATTTCTCACCTAAGTCTGGTGAAGTAAAAATAATTTAATTGGAGATTCTTGAATGATGCAAGTAAACATAAATTAACAAATGATTAACCATATTAGGAAATGTGTCACAAGTTTTATAAAAAGTAAAAGTCACAAGTAAAATAAAAACTTGAAAAGGACTGAAGTAGGTTCTATACATTTTGCTAAAAGCACAACCGTTCAGTAATTTGTATCAAAGAGTGGGAAGAGTCTGATCCATGTACGTATGGTTTTTACTAGTACTTGTGTAAATTTCAGATGTTTAGAAAATGTATCACCATGATTTTTAATGTGGTAAAATTGGATTTAATATGTACTGATAATGCTATTACCTTCATTATACACATTGTTTTACTTTGCTTACTTAAGCTTATGAATGCAGTATTTAAACACTTGTTGATAAATGATTTATGGTTTTATGGCCCAGTAAATAATTTTTACTTTTGTTGTCTGCATTAGTCTGTGACTTATTTGCTGTAACATCAGGGCAAGTAAATGACATGAAAAAGTATATTTGTATTACTGTAGTATATTGGACTTATATAATCATTATTTCCTCAACAATGGTTCTTTGAATTAGGAAGAATCTTTACCAGAAAAACAGTTATTAAAAAAGAAAATGTTTAATTGTTTCTTAGATACTGAAAAACATTGTTTTAACTTTTAAGGGGTGGGTGGGATAATAGTGTTTCATAATAACAAAAAAATAAGAAAATTTGAACTTAGTAGTTCACTTCTATATTTGCTAGTGAAAACAGCGACCACTAATGAATTCTATTTTTGTATTTGACTTAATATTGTTTTTATAAAGAATGTTTCCCTCTAACTGTTTATAAGTTTTTCACTAAATTGTGTTTCCAAGAAAAGAAAGTGTTTCTCATTGTCATGATATAAAAATATTGTTTGGTTTAAATACTGGTGATTAATTTATATTTGTGAGTAAATATTTTATTATTTTTAAGTTTTGTTATAACAAGAGTTAAAAGCAGACAATTGTAGAAGGTTTTGTTAATAAGTAATTGGTGTCGAGAATATAGAAAGTAGCCAGACGAATATGTAATAAAGATATGAATAATGTGAGATGAGTGGGAAGTGGCAGACAGACAGATTAGACAGATAAAAGTAAAGTGATTATAGTTGGTGTGAAGTTAAGTAATGTAAAAGTGATAGGCCTAACAACTGACATAGGCCAAACGTTTAATATGTTAGAATGAAACTAACAGTATAAAAAAATATAAGAAATATAATTTTATTCCATCAAAGCATGGTTCTAAAGTAATTGAATCAGCCAGGGTCTTCAGAAGAAAGAAGACCAAACGAATTATAGTAACTTGTGCCACAACTGTAAGTGAATCATGCACAGAATTCTAGTATGATAGTAATATAGGGAAGATAGTTCAACTTGTCAACTGAAATTCTAAAGTAATTGAATAGGTGTAAGAGGACTTTTGCAGGAAGGAGAAAACTACATATATAGAGAGAACTACATAAATAGTGTTTATGATATACCTGTAATCTCTATAGTGTGAAGACTTTGTTATACACACGTTTAACTTGTGTGCTGTTTATTCATCTTTGAATTTATTGCTAATAAGTCACAGACACCTACTGTAGAAGAATCCTAAGCCCAACAACAGCATAGTATGTATTTATACTATTAAGAAATATAAGTAAAAGCCATTTATTTTGACAATTGGCAAAAAGAATAACTTGTATATATATTTTAAATCTGACACTCATCTACATGTTCCACCTACTATTTGGTTAACCCTTTTGCAATGGGTAAGTGTAACTGAGCATGTCACGGCCTGTTAGCAATTTATTTTGAAAATTTTATTATGTAACTTTATTATTGCTATATATCAATGAAATTGGCATCAAAACTTTGCTTATCTTTTCAATTTTAGTATTATATTTTTTAATTTCTTAATTCAAAATATAATAAAGCTAATATCAATTTGTGTGTGTCACATAGCATCTCCTCATGTTTTGTTGCTCAGTTTATATTTTTTTATGCCTACTATATACATCTAAAAGTGGTTAATGGTGCCTGGCATGGGCAGGTGGTTAAGGCGCTCGACTCCAAAGCTGCAGGTCGCGAGTTCGAATCCCTGTCACACCGAAACATGCTCACCCGGTGTCCAGACTAGGACTCCAGTCCTACTCCTGGATACACACCTCCAGAAGAATTTGGAGGTGTGAGAAACACCATACAAAACTACTACTAGTGGCTAATGAATTATAAATATGAATTTTAGATACTGGCAAGCTAGAATATAAATTTAGAATCTCCCACCACTTTGATTTGCTGAGAAATCAATGTATCTAGCAAATCAACTAGAATAGCACCTCCTCCTACTCCATTCTTTCCAAACCTCTTGTTTTGTTCCACCTGCTTTTCTTAAGAGTCTGTTTATAACCAATAGAAAGGACAAGTTGTGTTTTACGGGATTCTGACAGTTGTTTGTAAAGAGCTTGGAATAGAAAATAATCATTTTGCCAAGACTGTTGAATGGTGATGACAAAGTTGTTGCTCTGAACGGAAATAAAAAAATTATTAACACATATATATACATTGTTTATAAACCCAAGCAAGTTACAGATGTTTTGGGTGTACTAGTAGAGTAATGTAATATATTTTTTTCTTTCTAAAATGTATATTTGAAGCCTACAAAAATTATATTTCATCACCCTCCACTTGAAAAAATAAACGAGGCTTAGCACTAAAGGCACACAAGGGCAAAATATTTTCCTATTACCGTAATTTCTCATAAATACTAGAAATGATTGTTTTTCTATGTAATTTCGATTTATTGTTCATGTTTCAAGAAAAATAAATAAAATTTAGGCATTTATGAGTAAATATGTATGTAATGTATTGTAGCTGAAATATCAGTTTAATTTTCAAAATATTAGTAATACAGTTAGATTTGTACTTTGTATTTGATTCTGTATGTAAGAGAACTTCTAAACTACACTTTAGCTGCAAAAGTAAGAATGTTTTCTAAAGAAGATTAGACTTGTAAGGCTTGCAAAACTAAATGAGTGTGATAAGTAGTACAGAAACTAGTTGTTATTGGTTGACGAATAAGTGCTGAAAAGAGAAATAGGATTTTATAACTATGTGCTCAAATTACATCTTTGTACACCTATGCTGCTAAATTCCAAGCACCCTAAAAGGATTACCAATATTCAGAGATTGCAATATTTATTGTATCAGTACCAAACCACATAATAAATGTTTTGACAGGTTCAAAGTGCAGTGTTGTTACTCTCGATAAGCCGATAAATTACACATCCTGTTGTTGGCATAAACATTTTCATTGATTCTAAGTGCAATGTGATAACTCTGAATTTTCCAAGAAAACATTTTAGCATATATAATCTAATACATTAGACATTCTGTTCTTGAAGCAGGGTCAAGTCAACTATCTTTTCACACGTGCTTTGTTGCTTTCAGGAGTATCATATTACGGTGGGGTCACATAAACAGTCTACTCACACAAGTGGTGATTTATTGGTTTATTTTCAGCAGGGTTCTACTTTAGTCATTGACAGTAAAATATACGGAGAAAATAAATGTGAAATGTTTAGCAGTTCAAACTCGTAAGAGAAGTACTTTGAAATTTTGTGACCAATAATAACGAAAAAAGGCACAGCTGCTCTTTTTATTTCTAATTTTACAACTTGTATCTTGTATTTTCATTATACTTTTGGGATTTGTCTACAGGCTGAAGACTTGAGTATATTATTAAATAACTGATAAGATATAGTTTTACTGAAAACAAATGTTTGAAATGTATTTAGGAGGATTTAAAGATTACACAAAAGAAATTTGAGATTTTGGGGATGAAGAATAGTATTTTTAATCATAACATGAAAATTGCTTCCACTTGGTCTAGTTACGAAACAGACTCGATATATTCACAAACAAATTTTTAGTAAAAATACTTCATTGAAAAATTTGATTTTTTGTGTACAAAAGGCTTGTAATGCTTACTACAGGTATACCAAATTTTTTAAAGATGCACATACTGAATTAAAAGTTATAGTATAAATGCTTAACATGTGCAAACGTGCATATGAACTCATGTATGTTATACTGAGCCTGTTGCAAAAGGGTTAATGTATTTTGGTCAGAACCAGGAGTTTTGTCCTAATGTTCAATCAGTCCAACTGAATTTTCATGTTTAAATGTATTACCTTGTAACAATTATACATGTAACTTTAATATATGAAACTAATATCAATTTAGGTTTTTGAAGACCTAGGTAAAGAAGTGATTGAAAATGCTTTTGAAGGATACAATACTTGTATATTTGCTTATGGACAGACAAGCTCTGGAAAGACTTTCACCATGATGGGTACCCCAGTAAGTTTTCATGAATGATTCATTTATTTGTAGTATAGTAAGTATGATGCTCTATGGAAACATTTGTTATGATTTGAGCTGTAGAGTAAGTATTATACATTAGGAAAATGTTTGACTTCTTACCATACAGTACAATGTACTGTGAAGTTTTTTTTTTATGACTTCAGCAATGTAGTGAGTACAATATTCTGTGAAGCCACTTATGGCTTCAGATGTATAGTGCAATGCACTTTAAAACCATTTACGTTTTTATTTTTAACTGTATATTAGTTGTTTATTATATTTTCTTTTCAAGTCTTAAGTGTCATATAATAACTAATTTTTTATCACTGTACTTTACCACACCAGATTGATGTAAATATTGTGAAAGGTAATAATTCTTTTTATTAGTTATGTTAAATAGAAGTACTGTACCTTTAACCTTCTTGGCAGTTACTCCGAGACAGTCTCGGGATGAATAAGCTGAACACAAATCATTCATTCTGAGACAGTCTCTGCAGCATTTAGCCTGAGTTTTTCCACTAGCTGCATGCTTCTGTCATCTATTGCTACTTGACATCACTAAACACTACAGGTAGGGCCCATACACAAACTTAGACCTCTATTGTCCTTCTTGTGACATTTGATTTTGTGCAGTGACCTGCTTCAAATACTACCACACCAAATCCAAATTCTAATCACTGAAGCCAAATTAAAGTTAAATTAATATCAAAGTTTTTATTTTGCATAAATTTATACTAAATTATTTTCCTTCTTCTAGGACTATCATAACCAAAGAATTGCTGATTATTGCAGTTTATTTGTGTTCATTGTATTTTTTACATATAAGTAGTACAGTGCACCTGCACAATATGAATACATGATTTTTAGAAAAGGAGGAGGGACTCTGGCTGGAAAGGGGTGTAAATGGGTTTTTATGAGTCAGTTTTGCCATTTTTCTTTAAAATTTCTCAATTTATTTAGAAAAAGTCCAGCCCCCCACCACCATGTAAAAAAAAAAAAAAAGTGACACCTATGGTGCAAAACATTCACAAATATAATAAAGCCAAGGAGGTTAATACTTCATTTTTACTATATTAAGTGGATGATACAAAATGTAGCTTTGGATCCTCATTCCTTATCTGTGACATAAAATATGAGCATTAGCTTCAAATATGCTACCATACCTCTAGATGAAGATGTATGCTTTTGTCAGTCTGAGTTTTTTTCTTCCTTAATTCTTTGTGTTAGATCTTGGTTATGTAGTGGACCCTCAAAACTTCATGAAATCTACACAATTTTCTTTCTCTAGTTGGAATGTTTTTCATAGATAAACTTTTCAAGAAAGACATCTTTCTCATTATTCTTGATTGAAACTTCATTTTTTAATAAGGCATTGTTTCTGAAAAGCTGTTTTTTTTTCCATCTGGATTCTCTCTTAACCTGAGGATATTATTGAATACCTCCATGTCAGGGTTTTTCCCTTGTGTCAGTCACAATTCTTATATGTATTACTTATTGAGCTGTTGTTTATGGTACAAACAGTTGTGTATTTTACATTTATTATTTAGGTAGTATCTACTTTTAAGATACCACATAAATTTGTAGGTTGTTTTATAATGTTCACAAATCTTCTATATCCCATCTGCAACTATCTCAATATTTGATCCATGTTGATTAAATTTAGTGCCTGACAAAGCATGTTGTTACTTGAGAAGTTGAAATTTAAATAGTTATTTCTTCTTTTCATCCCACAATATCTCTAATCTTGTTTTTTGAAAGATACTTTCCCTTTAAAAGGAAATTCAGTGGTGGCCAGTGTATCAGGACAGTTTATTGGATTATCATAGAGAATACCACTTAAGTGTGCTTCTACATATTCATCCTTTTCACAGATTCTTTTCAGGCTGATGGGAATGAAATCCTTGGTTCCCCCGAGGGCTTTAGTTGTTTGAACTCACTTGAAGTCTTGTGTTCACATCAATATACAGTAGTTTTGAACAGTACATAATAATTATAATTAGCTGGTTGCCTAGTTCTTTCTTCTGCCTAGGAAATTCCTTCCATGACAACTTTGAACATTTCTATTCATTTATAAAGATTGACACATTCATTTTTATAATTAGCTGGTTGTCTAGTTCTTTCTTCTGCCTAGGAAATTCCTTCCATGACAACTTTGAACATTTCTATTCATTTATAAAGATTGACACATTCATTTTTATAATTAGCTGGTTATCTAGTCCTTTGCCTGCTTGTGGAGCAGGAACTTCCAACTGAACATTCAGTATTTTGGCTTGTGTATGTTAGTATTTTCACTGTTACTATGTATCAATCAAAGTGGAAGATTTTTTCATAGTTAATGTTGTTGCTATTCTCTACCCTTTCTTTTTCTTTGTTCATTAGTATTATTTTGTTTTTATTTGGACAAGTGTTTGTTTGCTCCCCTCTTATGATACAAGGCTGCTGCTCCTTTTTCTCTTGGCCCTTTTATACTAGGCTCTCCTCCCCTTTTCTTTCATAAATAACTTACTTTTTTGTTGGTGCTTCAACATTGGAATGTAATTTGTGTCTTAAGGCCAGGCCATTTATCTATTTGAGCCTTTGGCCTTTTGTCACTGATGGAACTGTCAATAAGATTTTTATTCCCACCTCTAATGACTTTGGGCCATCTCCTTTTTGATACATTGCAATTAATATGTCCTACATTCTCTTTTCCAGGTATAGTTAGTTTTCATACCCAGATCATTCCTTTTCTTCCAAGACATGAATGGCAGAAAAAAAAGACCATTTGAATCTTTTTTTCTACTTCTGAGACTTTCCTTATTTGTGGCTAAGGTTATTCAGACTTCTGTACTAAACCATGCTGTTTTTTTCTTGTTGTTGAACTTGCACTGAGTTTTTTTTTTTTTTATATTGCTCAGTGTAGGTTATTCATAAATTATGATCCTGAAAGGTACCATAACTTATCCATTATCCTCACATGTTGGCTGAAGGTATTAATTTGAGGGAAATGTTTGTAGATTAACAATGTTATTTTACTCTCACTCTTCTCATCATGATCAACATGTCTTCTGCCTGCCTACTGTTTGTATAGGATGTGTTTCAGCCAAGATGGTAAGTGGACCTGTAGTAACGTTGCTGCTCTTTGTACTTCTGGTTCTGGACAGTTTACATACAGTTCTTAACCTTCAAAGTTTTGTCCTCATGATGATTTTTCCTTGGCTCAGACTTTTGTCTCTGTTTTATATGTTGATGACAAGTATTTATATATAGGACTGTTTCTTGCCATTATGGATCCATTGAGACTGGGCATTGCCTTGGAAAAAATTATTTCATGCAGCTTTATACATAACTCATAGATAGTCATGGAAAATGAGCTCTTAAAAATTTCAGTACTGAAATCTTGAAAGAATGGAATGGATGTTTTTAAGTTATTGTGCTGGAAAATGTTTGAAATTTCAATAAAAAATAATCTGTGAAATTGTGAGCTCAATTTAAAAAAGTTAAACAAACAAAGAGTGGTTATTAGAATCAGGTTTCTTTATATTTTGTGTTGGCTCTTTTAAACCTAGTGCCTTACAAGACTGTTGTTATTTCTGCTGGAGGACATGTTTGATTAATGAAAGTGCCAGGGTGCAGAATCTGAAAATCCTGGAAATTTGAGTATGGGTTCTCTGGAAAGTCGTGAAATTTAATTTTGTATAGCTTGTATGAACCATGACTTTTAATTTGTTATATTTAATGTGTTCCCCTCCTGATGTGGAGTTATTCCTGGTTATTTCACAATTCCACCAGTCATGAGACCTAGTGTTTTGCATATAATAATGTCTGATCTTGTGTGACTACTGATTATTCGGCATCAGTTTTTTTATTCCTCCCACCTAGTCTAGTGGATTATCAATGTACCAGATCTTTTTAACTTTTGAAACCATCTAAATGATTTGTCATGTTATCACTATGGGACAGTGCAGAGCAGGTTTCCAAATTTCTTTCCCCTGTTAGCACCTCTAATGAAATTTCCCTCTTATCAACTTTCAGTTTTGAGCCTGTGCACAGACATGTAATATGATTGGCTTTGTAGATATTTTGGTATTGGAAGAATATATTCTTTGAGCATGTTTAGATATGGGAATAATTTCTATTGTGGAGGGAAATCTTATAGATCTTAAAACGATGTGAACTGAAGTTCTCCAGAAATTGATGTAAGGAAGTGATTATAAAAAGAATTAGGTTTGACAATATAGGAGGAATATCTACCTTTCCAGAGCTATGTAACTATATGAATTTCATTTTGATCATAAAAATATAGATTTTGGTGCCTTTCTTACCAAAAAGTTTTAATATGAAACATATTGATTAATGAAGCATTTCAATATCCATTTGGGTTTTGTTATTAATATTGCTATTTTGTTTGTGGTTATTGGAGATGAAAATTGTGACTTAAGTCCATCAACTTCTTATTTTGCAATATAGAAGACAAGTATTGGAACTGTTTACTTTCTTCACCTCTTGGTTTATTAGATGGAATGTGATTTTATTCTTTGTTTTTATTAAAGTGATACATTGTACACTTGAACATGACATTTTAAAACTATAAAGAAATAACATTTCTTGAAAACTTTTGTTTGTCATGGTTCCATTGTAGCTAGCTGAGATCTTGTATTGAATAAAAGGTATATTGGAATCTAAATGGAATGGGGAATAAAATATATTAACATATTTTCCATATTATCTTTAACTTTCTAATTTGTTAATACTTTAATTTCAGGGTTTTGAAGGTCTTATTCCAAGAATTTGTGAGGCAAGTAATTTATATTGCTTCATATGTGCATACAATATCCATAAGTAAGCATTTTCATCTTTCAACTTTCTAATTTGTCTTTGAAGCAATTCATAAACTATAAATGAGATTGTGTTTGTGTGAAAGAATTTTGAATGACAGTAATTTACTGTGCCAGTTGTAAAAATGTTGACAAAATGTTTTAATTCTTGCTTGACCTTGTTATTGTTATAATATCCATTAAGGTTTTCATAATTTGTACAATAAAATTAGTTTTCTTTAAGTAAATTGAAAAATATATTAAAAAAACGATTATTTTAAACAATTAATTAGCTGAAAGAGTATGGTGTTAAAACTAAAAACTTTGAAATTGGATTTTTTTAGCTACATCATCTTGCAAATAAATAACTTAAAATGTATAACTATTACTGAATTTTTAAAGCATTTTATAAATAGTTTGGAATCCCAACATAATTTTTTATTTTTGTTTGCAAAAATAACATGTATTATATAACTTGTATTTTCCTAAATATAGTTTGTTTTATGAAATTCAAATTCATGATTTTGTTTTCCAGAAATTCTTATTATGAATTAGATTTTTAAAAAAGATTGTATATTTTTTATTTGATAATCAACTGATAAAAGTAATACTGGCAAATATGTCTTATGTTCATTTCAGTAAGGCATATGAATCAAGCTTGATTTTTTCCCCAGTATTATAGTACTGAAGCTTATTGGCCTATAATTATTGTAATTATAACAATTCTTGAATTGAATTTTATCTTTTTTTTTCACACAAAATATGATACAGAAATCCATTGATATAGTGCAAGTTGTTACTGGATATTCTTCAATTAAATTTTTATTATTATTAGCAACTTGTAAATAAATTACATGACTACTAGTAAATTTTCTGTCAGACTTATATTCGGAAAATGAAGAGACTTTCAGACTTTCAGCTATATTGTGATCTGAATGGATACTAGAAATAGAAAATATTGGAAAGGTGTTCACTGAATTTTCTGTGGTTTTTCCAAGATAATGAAAGGATTGTGTGACAGAGTTTTAATTTCTCACACTTGGATAAAACTTAGCAGAAAAAAACAACAGAAATCCTCTTTTCATAACCACTGTCAATGTCAGATAAATATGTTCTGTACATAATATATTTTAGTACTACTATCAAGTAGTAATGTGAATGCATTATGATAGTGGTAGTTAAATCCTGTTACTATTCTATAAGTGTTGCCCAATAATTGGTAAGTTGCCTTTCCTTCTGTGAGTTCAAAATTGCGGACAGTTACCTTAGGTATTTCTCTTGCAGCTTTGAATGAATATGTGAAACAAACAAATCTTCCTATGATGTTTTGGACAGCATTGTTTATCATGCCATGAATGTCATGTATATATTTGTTGGGCACAAAGTTAGGCAAATGATTGGTGTTATACTTGTATGTTTTCTTTTGGTAAATGTTTTGATGAACCAGGTCAGGTGAGTAATCATAAATGGATTATCCCTGGTCAAGTTTTGTTTTTGCTAGTATTTGAAATAATCACTAAACTAAGACTTGGAAACTGTCCAGATTTTTGAGCAACACACAAGTTTAAGGTTGATGACTAATTCATGGAGTTTTTATCCTGTGTAGGCCATGTTCTCAAGAATGAAATCAAAGTCCAACTCTGGAACTACTTTCAGAACAGAAGTCAGGTAAACTGTATCCCAGAAAAGAAAAAAGTGCAGCTAGCTGTGAGCAATAGCTGTATTCTAAAACTACATTGTTACAGAACCTGTATATGTCAGTACTAGCTGTATCCTACAAACAAAATGTTGTATAGCGTGAATAATAGTAAAACTTAACGTATAAAGAAAGGTGTATTATATATGTTTAAGTATCAAGTACAAAATACATCTTACATGCAAGTACTAAATCCAAATTTTTTAAACATTGACATGTACTGGGTTTTGTAACCTAATAAAACTGAGGTCTAACTTTACACTAGATACAGAATAGTCCATCTGTTTTTTAGGACTAGGCTATACAGTAAGTTTGTATGATTTTAAAATACTTTCTGATAAGTTCAGCCATAGTTGAAAACTATTCAAATTATTGTGTTAAAGTTTGTGTTAAAGTAAAATTGGTGGACATTAATTTGCATAACTTCATCATTGAGATATTTTTGTGGGTAGTAATGTTCAGTTGTTAACTCCTGAGGTTTTATAACACGTGGTTACTAAAATTACTGAAAATTTAACTGTTGGCTATGTTCTGTGCAAACTGAATCTTGCCATTTGTATCCAGTGTATTGTATATGCACTAGCTTTGAATACTTGTTAATCTCTAATGTTAAAGTACAAGTGAAACATTTGATACATGCTAACCTATTATTAAATGTTAATGAAACTGAAATACTGTGAAATTGTCCACAACTTATGAATTCTTTAAAAAGGAAAATTTACAACCGTTGTAAATAAAACTTTGGGAGCTCGGGTTTTCCATCAGTGTGTTTTTTATGTTAATGTGAATGGAAGAAAGAAAAAAGATATTTTAATTGAATATTAAGTACTTAGGTTTGTTATGAGACTGTCAAGAAAATGTTTAGCTTGAGGGAAAAAGTTTAATGTTGATGATTTTCTCAAATTCTATCGTGTATTTATTGCACTTACCAACACAATTACAAATTTATAATAACTAAGTATGATAACCAACTAGTTTATATACTTTCTATATTCTATGCAATTGCAGTGTTTGATGATGAAAAAGAAACGTATTTTCCATAAATTATCTAAAATTACTTATATATATATATATATATATATATATATAAATGTTTCAGCTGATAACAACAAATCTTATACAGGCTTTCCTACACTAAATTTGAAAATTTCTGTTTACCCAGAAAGGCCAAGCATGACCCATTGTTTTGGTTAGCATGCTTTACTGTGAAGCTAAGGTTCTGTGGTTTGTGTCGCATTACTGCATGGAAGCTGCATGAAATTTATTCTGTTAATAAGAGATAAACTTGATTGCAAAAGTGCCTTCTTAAATCATATTTAATTCCAAGAATTTACCTTCTTGTAGCAAAAGTTACAAAACCCATTATGGCTATTGTTTCATAATTAATAAGTTAAATTAGGATGTATAACTTAATTGCAATTTCTTCAGAAATATTTTTTACTTACAAATACATTTTATCCTTCTAAAGTTATTTGGAAATTTACAATGAGAAAGTGAAGGACCTTTTGAAGAAAAGCAGCAATCAGCACAGTCTTCGTGTTCGAGAACATCCAAAGTTTGGTCCTTATGTGCAAGGTAATATTTAGAGATATTTAATTTTAAAAAAAGGGGGTTATATAGATATCATGGCTTATCTTGGTGTAAGAATGAAATAAATATTGTTTAGGTTAGCTTCATATAAAGAGCAGACATCAACTGTAAAAGCTTTCTTGCTGTCTAAATAGTTTTAGAATGGAATATTTGTGTTAAAATGTTAATTTATGTAAGTAAATCAGTATTAGAAATAAGGGTCAAATTTCAGAGAATAAGTATCAGAGTTTTTGTCAGGTTTAGTAAATTAATATTTGATTGGTCAAGTTTTGTTATAGTAGGCTAACATTAATATAAGATTATTCTTAAGTGTAAACCTACTGATTAAACAATTTTGGAATTGCAGCTGTCATTAGTTATGTGATTACGTCTTTCCTTGACTTCAGTGTTTTTGTTTTTATAACATTGCCGATGTCTTGATCATGCTTGTATTTTTCATTGGCTTAATGTCAATAAGCAGTGAGATGATGTAATTGTGCAGGAGTAATCATAAACAATCTTGTGTTCATTAGAGCATAAACAAAATACATTATCACAAGAAGAGTGATGTAGGTGCTGAGTTCTTTCAGACAGATGGGACATCCATTATTATAGCATTAGGTAATTTCAACTTTGAAAATGTGACACCAAAAACTTGGAGAGAAAGCAAGAAGTTTAAAATTGTGTCTCATTGAGAGTTAATTGAACATAGTCAGTTAAGATATACACAGTGACTGGTAAATCCTTTTTTATATTCTACATAAACACTTAAAAGGTCCAAGTATTTCTTTTGTTTTCATTCTTTATGCAAAAGATCTTACAAAAATGTTGTGCTTTGATTTATTAAATGCCTTTAGAGAATTTCATAAATTTACTACTAAGTTAATCATGTTAAAATATGGTAAGCTGTTTTTCTTCATTATGAAGTAAATGCCTTAAATGAAGTGGGTTTGAAATTATAAAAACTTTTAAAATTAAAAGTGTTAAGTTCTTTGCTAAAAAACTATCCATAAATAGACAACAATTCACTCAATGCCAGTCTTAATTGCACACATTTGGATAACTTTTTATTAACAACAATACATTTTCACCTAAGTTTATCAGAAGGGGTTCCTCCATGTTACTTTAATTATTTTTTGAAATGTGTCCTTCAGAATCAGCCTTGTACTGCATTTTTTATTTTCTAGTGCTGATCTTATTTTGTATCTTTTATTTAACTCATAAGTAAGACTTGAAGCATATATGTCTGTCAGTTTGAAAATTGGTGACAGTTACTTTGTGACAGAGGGAAAAGTGCAATGGGCATCAAACTGTAACTCATGATCGATTCTTTCAACAGTGGTTAGGATTCAAATTTTACCCTCCAAGTGACATCACAGAAACTGTTATATGGCAGAAAACAAACAGTCTGAAAATTATCTCGGATGCAAAGACAAAAGCACAGTTTTGCTGAAGCTTTAGATGGAAGTCTATAGAACAACGAATGACTGGAAGTATATTTTATAATCTGATGTGTTGAACTTCATGCTTTTGTGGTAAAGAGGTAGAAAGAAAACTACAAGAGACACTTGACCTAGTTTTTGTTTTTCTGAATTGCAAGGAGTTGAAGGTGGTGTAATGGTGTGGAGATCATCCTTGTGGCAGGGGCTGTGTCACTTTATTCTTTGAGAAAGGCAAATAACATCCAGAGAGTATATAAACATTGTTGACATTCGTGTCCACCATACATTGTTGTACAATGATTTGCATAACTCAGGAATCTAGCGATCTTGTAATTGATTTGAAATGTATAACTTTCATTACAGTTTTCTTCCTTGGCCTATAAATTACTAGATTTTCATCCATTTTAGCATTTTTGAGATGAACTTAAACAGTGCATTTATCACCTCAGTGTTTTGCTAATATTTTTGAAGGGATTTCACACCATACTCTTCAATTAATGGGTTATAATTTAGTAAAAAACTTACCTTGTGACTCTATGTGAAGCTGTTGTCAAACAACCAAATATTAGGTGTGTGTGTGAGGGGGTCCTAATGAAGTGGCATTAATAAAATAAAATAGAATTGTAGAAACTTCTATCTAAGTTATTAACTGTTTGTTTATTATAAATTAACACTATTTTTTAGTTCTTCAAATCTATTTATGTTTTTATGTCTTTAATTTCTGCATGATTAGCAGTTAGCTCTATTTGAGCTACTTTTTAAAATTATGTGCTGGCTACATTTTTTTCGCATGTGTATCATTATATGTTATTTTACATTAATTTGGCATTTGATTTTTATTCTCACTGACTCAAGTGTACTGAAAAACATTATTATCCATGAAAACCCACTTTTATCTGGAGAGTCAAAGCTAGCTCCTTTTAAGAATGTAAAACCTCTGTTTCTTTTATTTGGATTTTCCTTTTGTTTTACATTTGACACTTACCTTAAATCAAGCATCAGATATAGTGCATTAGAAAATTTTAATATAAAACAATTCAATTAAAAGAGCTATTAAATATACATTGTGGAGTTTTATTAACTGGCAAGTAATTCCTTGGAACCTGGTTTCTATTGGTTTAAAATGTTATTCTTCCAATTTTTCTCCATGTTCATTATATCTGACATAGTCATATTGGATTAATTTAGTGTTTTGTTTGTTTTAGTTTTTTCCTTTTTATATGTTTTGTGGAATATCTTTTTTATTTTGATTTAACACTATGTACTGTTAGCACTTTTTTTATATAGGATCTAAGCAGTTTATTTCAGAGGATCTACATTTAAACTAAAAATTTAACATGTAAATTAGTGTTTATTACATTTTGCTTAGTTATATCAGGACATACTTGTTACATTAATTTTGTTTAATTACACAGATCTCTCCCATCATTTGGTGATGGATTTTTCTGATGTGCAGGAATTAATGACCAGAGGGAATTCCAGAAGGTGAATATACAGTTTTCCATAAGCTGCCAAAGCTCTCTTTTCTTTTCATATTATTAATGATATAGTATAAAACAAATAGATAAGATACTTCCAGAGATAACCATATTTATTTTTAACTGCTTCAGTAGTGAAAATGGAAATTTGAAGGGATACTTATAAGTACAGTATCTATGATATTTGGACAATAATATTAACTGTGCATGTTAAACATTAGCTTTTTTTTTGCTATCATGGATTGTTCACAATAATGACATCATCTGGTGGATTATACCGTGTCTCTGTAAGAGGCTAATCTATTGTTACCTACCTTCTGGAAGAGTTCAGTGAACTAATATGCTGGAATAATAGAGAGATGATTCAGTAGGATCCACCAGAAGATGCATCTTTAGTTTCATAACTGGTTGTAGTAGTTACCTCCTTGTCTCTGGAAGGTTTTAGAGAATCACCTTTCCTAAAATGTGGATATCATATGTTGGTTAGGTTAGGACCTATGCTTGGCTGTCTTTTGAAGATCCTTATCTATAGTACATCGCCTTCAGTGGCTGTGGAAGAGATCTAAACTTTAAGAATATGTGGAGGTCTAGCCCTATTGGTAGTATTTGCATATCTGACCTAGTAGTTATGACAAAAAATTTTACTTCTGTCTTTTTCCTCATTCATGCTTGAAATGAAGTACATCATTCCATAGTACACAGAAATTGCATTGTAAAGAGGGCAGCTAATTACATTAATAAATATTAGTTGTGAAAGATGTGTTTTTATTTTCTGGATAAGCAACTTGGATTTGTGACATACAAGCTAATTTTTTTCATTACCTTAATTTTATAAGTATTGACTTTTGAACATGTTGACTGCCACATGCTGGAAATGTTTTGTCTTTAAAGTTTTACTTTAGCATTTGTCTCTGAAGATAGTCAAACTAAAAAAAAATTACTGGTGTAAATAGATAATAATAGTTTAATTTTTTCATGCACACTAATAATTATCCATATATGAGTCGCAAGACTTCGTTCTGTTATGATTTGAAATCTATTAATATTAAGATTAGTCTAGATTAGAGTTAACTTATTCCAAGAAGCTCTCAACACAAAAAAAAATACTTAAAGGATATAAATTTATCAATTCATAATTTATAGTTTTCATTTTGTTTAAAACAAGATTGTTTGAATATTTATTTTTTGGTTAGAATTATCGTAAAAAATGTTTTGAGAATTGAAAACTGAATGGATAAGGCTTAAATATGTAATTTTGTATTCTAGAACCACAGCATCTACAGCCATGAATGATGTCAGCAGTAGATCACATGCTATATTTACTCTAACATTTACTCAGGTTTGTGCAGTGTTATGACAAAGAAAAGCAAAACAACATTTCCAAAAAATACATATAATAATTAGATTAAAATATAAGATCCTCTGAAGTGTGTTTTTCTTCATTAGTAGACTTATTCCCGCCAAATCTATTGCCACAATATAAGATTTTATAGGAAATTATTAAAATAGTCAGAGAGAAAAAGAAGCTTTAATATGTAATAATTTATAAATAATTTTAAATTTTGATTATGATGATTGTTTTCACAAATCTTGGTTGAAATCTTTGTAAAGTTGATCATAAGTGTAACTTCAGCAATAAAACTAATCACTAAGAACTATTGGTTTCTGTCTTAAATGTTGTCTTTTTAGGGGGGAGGAGGTGAATACCTATGATTTATATAGTGGATACTTTGAGCGTTTCAAATAGAGTGTAAGTTTTGATGAATCAAAGATTAGTTTATTTTGAGAGTGAACTAAATATAAGACATACCTGTGTATTTTCAGAGTAAACTAAAGCTAAGATATATCTATTTGTTTTCATAGTAAACTAAAACTGATATGTAGCTGGAATGTAACTTGTTGCTTCATGTGTTCTAGTGCAGTAGCTCATCAGTGGGAAAGGCAGATCTTAGTGTATGCCTTATTTACACACAACATAAACATGACAAGACACTGCCTCCCCCACCCCTCTAAATTAGTAAAAACTTCAGTAGTCCATGTCCAACTTTCTACTACTTAATATGGTACAGCATATGCCTATGGTGAGGTAGTTAATAGTAAAATAACTTTTCCTGGCATGATTTATGACTTCAGTGATGGATCAAAGACATCGGTACCTACGTACACACTATTTTATTAGTTGACTTTACTGCTTCTTCTGTCACATGTCTCTTAAAACACATTACAAGTTTTGGCATTACTATTTCATTGTTCAGTAATATTAAACTCAATAAAATCACCTCTCTAAAATCATCTTACATAAAAATGTGTATCTTCCAGGATATTGTAATATTCTTGACTTAATTAATGTTGACTGTACAAAATTTGCAAAATCATTTTGCAAACCCTTTAAATTTCCTGTTTTTATATCTGTGTATAAAATGTATCATGTCACCACATACTTTAAGCAAATCATGCAGAGACGAATACATATTAGTCTGTGGATTATAATGTCATACCATTTGCAAAGGTGATGATTTTCATTCTTCCAGTTTAATCCATGTAATGATAAGCATGGAATTTGTATTCACACCCTGAGCATTCTGAAGTTGTGTTCTGGATAATATAAATTTATTGCTAGTTTGTGAATGGATTTTTGAAAAGTCCAATCTGTCTCTAACTAAAGGCTAGTGCTTTTGATATTACTATGTTTCTCAATGTTCTCAGTACATTTATTGTTTTTAGTGCATGATGTTCTTGATGGTGAAAAACATTGTCAAAGTATAGTTAGGATTTTCTTTTTGGATGTCAGATTGTTTTCTTTCATAACCATGCGAGAGATAATCTTGCTGACCACATTACACTAAGATCTGTTTTTATTAGTGTATTTCCTTTGTTTCAATGCTTAGAATATATATCAGTTTCAGATGACTTTCCTGTGGAAAATGTTAGTTTAGTCTGCTGGTTTAGTCATTCTGTAGTCATCTAGTGAGATATTTTTAAAATTAGATAAGTTAACATCAGCTATCCTAATGATTTTACCATTTTGAACAAATGTGGGTTTACAAAGCCATTAATTCCAGCTCTAGAAAATTTGTTTTCTGTGCAGTTGATTCCAGCTCTTGCAAATGTGTGTTTACACACAATAATTCTTCTATATTTAGTTAATATATGACAGCTTTAAGTTCACTTGATATTGTTGTAATTGGATTTTCTATATTAGCATAAAAAAAACCTGTTTTATCTATCCACTTGAAAATAACTTCAAACTGAGCCTGATATTCTTTCACAATGATTTCCTATTACAGCCTGTTAGATTTCTGTAACTCATATAATTTGAAATAGTATAACAGATTTCATATCATCAGAGGTGTACTTACAGTCTTTATGAATATTGTTACCAGAAGCACAGATCTGAAAATTTTTGCTTGACGAGTAATGTGGCTGTGTTGACTAAAAACACTACTTAGCTGGAAGTCCTGGAAACTATCATAAAAAAAACCGAGATGATTTTAATATGTTGTAAATTAGCTTTTGTGAAACTTTTATACTGGGGAAATGAAAAAACACTTTGAATGTAAAAAGTGATTGTTAAAATACATAATTGATAGTATTTATACCTAGTTTAGTTTCAGTTTAAGAAATTAAAATTATTAAATAAGAAAAACACTTAAAGTATTTTTTATGGGAAAAAAACAATTACTTAAGTTAGCTTTTAGAATCATCAATTGTGTTATTAGTTAAATTAGCTCAATTTTTTAAAAGAAAGTTGTAAAGATATCACAATGAAATTTTCTAAAATGAATATCTTTAGGCCACATTCCACCGAGACATGCCTAGTGAAACAGTTAGCAAAGTGAATCTAGTTGATCTTGCTGGAAGGTACGTCACAGATAATAATGAATTTTTTCAGCAGAAAGGTCTTTGAGTCTTGTTGATTTGGTTACTAGAGAAATATAGTTTATCTTTTTATCAAACCTAAATCATTGTATTTAGCTGTTTTTCTACAGGTAAATAATTGACAAAGTAATTGTATTTTTTCAGATAATAAATTGTTTATTTTTTATTATATACAGTAATAATTCCCTGAAATACAATAAGCTTTTGACTTTCAAGATAAGTTATTGAATCATGTTGATTTTTTCATTATATACGTTTTGAAACTTTTTGTCTATTATCAGTTGATATTTCAGTTAATCTTGTTGATTTGTTTGGAAAATAAAATCTGCAAATTTAGCCTTTTTCTTTTGATAAATAAATAAAGTTTTTCCTGTTGGTAAATCACTGAATTATATTGGTTTTATCAGGATATACATTACTAAATCTTGTTGACTTTGTTACTAGATAAGTATGAAACATAATTTTTTTTTTTTCAGTTCATAATCTGTTGAATATTGTTGATTTTGTCAGGATATAAGTTGCTGATTTTTGTTCACTTTTTCAATAGATAAGTCTAAGATATACTTGTTTTTTTTTTTTAATACATAAACCAGTTAACCTTGTTGATTTTATCAAGATATAAATCATTGGATCTTGTTGATTTTGTTTAGCTGATGACTCTTTAAAAATGGTTAATTTTCTTACTTTTTTTTAATTTTCTTACTGTTGATTTTTTTCCACAAGATAATTAAATATATTTTTTGTCAGTATATACGTCATTGGTTCTTGTATTTTTGAAGGTTTATCAGCCAGATATTTTACATTTTTAAGAGTTGTTACCAATTAGGTAATACATATTTTTTAAAAACATTTCTCTGAATATACAGATTAATGAGTTGTTGATTTTGTCATTTGATAAGTAATTAAATTTAGTTTAATCTGTCAATCATTGGATCTTGTTGATTTTGTTTAGCTGATGACTCTTTAAAAATGGTTAATTTTCTTACTTTTTTTTAATTTTCTTACTGTTGATTTTTTTCCACAAGATAATTAAATATATTTTTTGTCAGTATATACGTCATTGGTTCTTGTAGTTTTGAAGGTTTATCAGCCAGATATTTTACATTTTTAAGAGTTGTTACCAATTAGGTAATACATATTTTTTAAAAACATTTCTCTGAATATACAGATTAATGAGTTGTTGATTTTGTCATTTGATAAGTAATTAAATTTAGTTTAATCTGTCAATAGATGATCATGGAATCTTATTGATTGTTTAATTGTTAAGTTATTATATATTAATTTAGTAGATTACACATTATGCAAATTTAGTATTTGATCACAGGTATGGTATAATAATAATAATAGACTGAAGAGAGGTGATAACCATTACTGTATAACAACAGCTTTGCCTAGCTATGACTAGAATATACAATTTCCAATTATCTTTTAAATGTTTTAAGCAGTATGCTTCATATATCCATAAAGTTATTACATATCCAAAGCAATGAAATTTCAAGTAGCCAGTTATGTTAATTATTCAAATTTTTCCTGTTTTTTGTATTTTGCTAAGTATAATGGAGTTATATTGTCAATTCAAAAGCCTTTATAGTTTATTATTGCTGTCAGTAACATTTCGTATAATTGAGTAAGTCAGTTTGATAAGCTTTGCAATTTCTTTTCTTTTGAATGCACTTGTAATAAAGGTGGTGTTTGGGTTTCCCTCATAGTCAAAAAATAATTTCATCACAATCATTTAGTCTTAAATTATTATAATTAACTGCACACATCTTTTTAATTGTGAAGTCCAGTGTTTAAGTTTTTGATTCTGCAATCCTTTGACTGGCTTATTGTGTAGTTTTTCCTCTCTAATGAAAATGACTAGTATGTAAAGGTAATTATGCATAATAATCTTGGTAGTTACATAAGTGATTTGTTCACCAGTGACAAGTTAGAAAATGTATAGCAAGGAAATGATGGTTAGCAGTATTGTTGTCTGTTCTCTGCAACTCTGCACAGTAGTATAGTATCTAGTGGTGATTAAATGTAAGCTCTATTAATATGAAATCATAATTTTCCATGATCAGTGAACGAGTAGCTTCATCAGGAGCAACTGGACAAAGACTGAAAGAAGGAGCTCACATAAACAAATCTTTAGTGACACTTGGAACAGTCATTTCTGCTTTAGGTACAGTAACCTCAACGTATCGTACAGTAAAGTTAATGTGTGTATTAAATTCTATTAGGGTATACTTATATCTTTAAATACTGGAATATATACTGTCTTGGACTTTCAAATTATCACTTTGTTCATGCATCTACACTAGATTTTCCCATTATTTTATATCATGGTAAAGTCAATTGGTCCAATAATCTCTATTAGTTTTATTTAATTACTGTTTATAATGTGTATCTAAATGATATAAGAGGTTTACAGTTTTAACTTTTCTTTTTAGTGGTTCTGGTTGTGTGATATAAAGGTCATATTTTTTAATTTTATGCAGTGATTTTTAAGGTTCAACTGTAGTATAGCATCTGTAACACAGATGCAATTTTCTTATTTTGGTCTAATCTGTATACTGGATCAGTCTGCCTATTTAACTGTATTAGTTTCTTCCATTAACATATGTCCAAATCAGTGTCTTTATTTGTCTATACTGGATATTTCTCTAGCTATAACTAATTTTAATCCTACCTGACTCAAACTTTTTCATTGGATTGAAAATGTGCATTTGGTATAATTTTTACATTAACCATTTTTGTATATAATGGTAACTCAATTTCATCTACTTGAAGTGTTTATGACAGTAGTTGTGTTGTATATAGCTGTGACATGTAGGTTAGAAGCAACTGTAACAGTAAAGGCATGGTGTAACATTATCATATTACAAGTGCCCGAGACTAAGTACATAATGTATTAGTGATATACTGTGACAGCAACCATGTAATTGTCTATTATAGTGGAAATATGTAATACTGTTCCACTAGAATTATCTGTGACAATAAGGATATCATATAGTACTGTTACAATAGAAGAGTTGACTGGGAACATGTCATGTAAGGTAATGTTACAATAGAAGAGTTGACTGGGAACATGTCATGTAATGTACTGTTACAATAGAAGAGTTGACTGGGAACATGTCGTGTAATGTACTGTTACAATAGAAAAGTTGACTGTGAGCACATCATGTTATAGTTAATATATAAAGAATCCTATCTTTTGATACATATAGTAAGGTATTTAATTTCTAAAATTTCTTTATATGCTAGCGGATACATCAAGTAATGTGACCAAGAAGCAAGCTTTTATCCCATATCGAGATTCTGTGCTCACTTGGCTTCTAAAAGATAGTTTGGGAGGAAACACCAAAACCATGATGATTGCAAGTTAGTTCCTTTAACTAAAAGAAAACTATAGTGCTATTTTCATTAACTTTTAGAGAAATTAGAAAATTTTCATTCTTTGTTCTTACATTTTTCATGAAGTAATTATGTAATTATTGAAGTGTGACTTCATCAATTTATTAATGCTTTATGATTTTTTTTTCTAATTTTAAATAGTCATGGTGAGGTGATACTATACATTGCAGCATATAAGTGAATTTTATGACAAAATGTTATTCCAAAAAAGAGGACTCAACTTGTATAACAGATACAAAAAATGTAGGAAAATTCTCAATTGTCAGTGGATCCTCAAGATCAAGTGAATTGATCTATTTAAACACATAAAACAATGCTCTTCCCAAAGAGCCTTTGTTTTAAAGTTTTAGGGAATGATCTTATAAAGGTCAAATGTGCATCCTAATTGTCATTTCGGTGATATATTCAACAGCTGAACATCAAAATGCCTCCAAAATATGTGAGATATGAAGCAAAAATTTAAGACTGAAGTTGTGAAAGTTGCCGAAAAGATAAAAACTGTGCTGCGAGTTGGGAATTTGGCGTAAATGAAAAACTTGTCTGTGATTGGCAAAAACAGATAGGGAAAATTCAAAGCTTGTCAGGAATGACGTGAGTTGCTCAAAAACGAAAAACTGGTTTCTGACCTGAACTGGAAACAGAACTCATGAAATATGTTGATGAAAACTGCAAGACTGTTTCTAATGGAGGGCAAAGCTAAATGAAAAGAATGCTGGTGAACATTTTTATGGCATGAAAACTTACCACTATATGATCTTCAGATTGTATGTGATATTTCATTTTTTTTTCTGGCAAACGTTTCAAAGTCTTTTTACAGACATTATGTTTTGGTTTTGGTTTTTCCATGAGTGGGATCAGGATAGCAGTGAGGTAGTGTGTCAGTTTAAGGCAGGATGAGTCTCCTAGCATTCACCATGAGTTTCTGTGGATTTTCAGCCTTGTGTATCTTGAGTAAACCATAATATCAGGGTGATTTACTTCTCGTAGAAAGGAGCTTTTTGATTATATTGGATTTATTTTTCTTGAAGATAAGGTTTACAAGTCAGTTGTAGGTTATATAGAAAACCATGTTTTAATACTGTTCAACTATGCCACAAACTAGATCCATGATCTCCAACATCCTACCATAACTAACTAACAAACCCAAAAGAATCTTAGAAATTTTCTACCCAAACTTTACTTGAAAACTGGTGAAACCATTAGAAGGTTTCTAACAAATTATAACAATAGTCATTCAAAGGAAAATACAAGAATGGAATATAAAAAATAAAATTATCTGTTTCTTCAGACTCATACTTTGGAAAAATAGTTAGAAATGTATATTAAAGAATAATGGAATATTAAATCTCCCTGAGTCTGCTACACCTGGGGAAAAAAACAACAACAAAAAAACAGACTATATATACTAATAATCCAGTTTTTGACTAAGAACAATGTCTACTATTAAATAATGAGGTATGTATGCCTTCTTTATACAACTGAAATAAAAATACTAATGAACCAATAGAAAGGAGCAACTTATCTTTCAGGGTTAACACCATTACATACCAATATCTAACAATGTGAAACCCTGTGTAAGGTCTTCCAAACTTCTTGGACACACTATAATTAAAAGGAACTCAAACTTTCCTGATGAACGCCTCAGTACGGAGAATAAAATGTTCTAGTGCTCCACATCTAGATTCCAAGCAGGTGCAGTCTGCAGAAGAATTAGGTTTTATATAGAGTAGACTTGCTACTTTTCTAATACTTGAAACATGTTTCATGTACAATAGATCCTGCTATAGGTATTACATATAGAAAAGCTTTTAACTACACATTGCAAAATTCATCTTTTAAACATAGCCATCCTTATGAATACTTTCACAAAAATTGTTACATTCCTGCAAAGAATTGTGCTGCTGTAAACATAAGAAGTTTGGAACACAATTTGTAGAACACATTAATCTAAATAGATGTGAAGGTAATATCTAACTCTGTAATGTCTAACTATGATGTAATATATGTAAATTGTAACAATTGTTTCTTCTGTATTTGCTGTTTCAAATAGAGAAGTACATTAAATAGATAGATCAGTATGAAAGCTGCTACAACATGAGATTTGAACTCGTTACTTTATGGATGTAATGCACAACATTGAACCCTGTATGCTCATTATTCTCAGACAGCATTTTCTCTTTTCAATATGTCAGTATGCAAAGTCATTAAGGTTCATACTAAACTAAGAAAGATATTAATATTTAAAAAAACTATTTAGTGTTTCTTAAAAATTAGCAAATGAATTTCCACTATATTACTAGTAGTTGGGTGCAAAGGAACATTTTACAAGAGAATTTGGAATCTTGAAAATTATGCAGACTACTACTGTGGCTCATGTTAAGAATGAAACATAAACAACAGGTAAAAGGACACTCGGTTTTTGTTGTTGCTTTGCTATGACGTTCTGAGTTTGTTTTGAGATTGTGTTGTTCTCACAGTACTGAGAATACATGAACAGTAGATCATGTTATAGTTGTAATATCTAAAACAGGTTTTACCTACAATAGATTTTGCTATTATCCTGGTACTACGCTATGTTTTAACAATGGGAGCTCGTTTTTGGTCCTGAACAATGTATGCTTGCTAGATATTAGTATCATAGAACTCCTGATACATGTTTTACTTCCATATGATGCTGTTAGAAGTTGTACACTAAAACTATTTTTATTATCTACTGTAGACTCCAATCTGTGAGCATGATTAGTGATGTGAATCATAAATTTCAGCTACAGAGAGAGAGAGAGAGAGAGAGAGAAGTAATTTTTGTATGAGTTATTAATTGTTTTTATAAGAGTTATTACTTGCTTTGATTAGTGTTTATTTTTTTCAAAATGTAGGTATTCTCATCATAGTAGTCTGTGGGATCACCTTCAACTACTAACATCTATTTATGAATTAGTCACTAATATTTTGCTGTTGTTAGATAATGGGGCTGTGGGTGCAATATAAGAGTTATAGTCAGATCTCACCATTTGATTACAGTGGCCCCAAGATTTGATAGTGGGTGCTGTTGACTAGTTGTTTTACTCTAGTTTATCAGTTCAAAATTAGTGACAAGTAGTCCTTGTGTAGCTTTGTGTAAGTATCTGAAAAACAAAAACAACCACCATAGTCTTACGTTAGGTACTATAAGTTAATATAATTGTGTCCTCTCAAACAGTAGCAAATGTGAAAACTAAGAATCATTAAAAAGCTGTGTATTATTAGTCATTTTGTAAGTGTAACATAGAGAACAGGAATTTTCTATATGCAAGGTCTATCTGCATATATAACTTTAACAGTAGCTTTTACCTCTTACAAGTTCCCCTTTAACTGTAATTTATTTGGGTATATAGTTTTATTACAAAATAATGGAAAAATTATATATTCAATTTCAAGCACTATGAAATTATGCTTAGCAGTTAAAATGTTTTAATACTAAGAATTTATCAGTTTTCCCACTGTGACATCTTTATTTGAAGGATGGCCCAATAAGGTGATTTAATAAGATTATTGGACACTTGGTTTTAGAATTCATTTGTTTTCTACATTAATAGATTTCAGAACAACTTGTTGTAATTAGTCAGAAATAAAACTTTAGGCAAATGTGATATGCCACTAAAAACTTTGAACATTTTTGCAGTCAGAACCTTGTAGTTTTACTTTTGAATTAATAGAATGTTCAGAAATTTAAAAAAAGTTCTGATAAGAAATGACATTTTGAAGCCATATAATTTTGTTGCAATTTTTATTTTTTAAATGTACAGCAATATCACCAGCTTTGTGTAATTATGGAGAGAGTCTTAGCACTTTAAGGTATGCCAACAGAGCTAAGAATATTATTAATAGACCTACTATTAATGAGGTAAGTTGTGTTTATGAACATCTTAGTGTTTTGTATTTTATTTTCACTTGTTTTATTGGAAGCAAAAACATAATATTGAAACAAAAATGTTTTTTTAACTTCATATATTTTCACCGAACACTGTTTTGTTGGTGTTTTTTATGGCTTATTACCTTCAAGAAATAAAGATACAAAAATATGAAAAATAAGTAAATGGCTTTTTCATCTTACATATTGATAGTTAGGTATGTTATTCAGTTTTCTGTCTGTTTTCATTTATATAATATTCTGTCATCAGATATAAAGTGTGTTATTGTGTTTTCTATTTCTCTTGAGAAATTGATATGCATGGTCCTTCTCTGTGTAATTTGCTCTATATTTCTCAGAAACATTTTGTTATTCTACCTTCTATCTGAATTTTAGAATATATTTTACCATACTAGTTTTTAACACTGTTTTAATGATTGTGTGATTCAAGTAGTTTTATTCAGTCATAAGCTATAGGTAAATATTTTGCCTCTCACAGGATTCTAATGTCAAGCTTATACGAGAACTTCGCAAAGAGATTGCTCACTTGAAAGAGCTTCTTGGAGAAAGTGTAAGTAGAAGTTTGTAGCAACTTAGAGGTCAGAATATTTCTTGTACCACCCATTCTTTTTCATAAACCATACACACACACACATGAGGAAAAAAAGACCTAAGACACTCAGGTTTTTCATGCTTAAATTTATGAGATAATTTGTGTTATTTTAATATTATGCTATAAATAACATGTTTGTTTTTGCCTTATGAATTTGGCCTTGCATAGGCTGGTGGTTACTGCATGGACTTGCAATCTGTGGGTGGCAGGTTTGAATACTATCATCAACCATGCTTGCTCTTTCAGCTGTGGAGGTGCTATAATAAGATGGCTAATCCCACAATTTGATTTACTAACTCTTCTAAATTAGAGACAGTTAATTAGTTTATGCAAAATTCAAGAAACAAAACAAAATTTATAGAATTGTTAGTACTAAATTACAGAAATAATTCCTGTAAAAATTAAGTAAAATATCATCAGTAAATTAATTTTTTAGACAAAGAAAAATGCTCTGCAAAATCTTCAGCTTTCACTGATACTTTTGACATCAGTCTAAATCTGTCATATAAAAATGGTTAATTTTTTCTTTTTATAATGTATTAGTTATTTTTTCTACCAAATGTAAGTTACTTTGGAACTGATGATTTGATAAATGAGTGAATAGTATGCATTTGAAGTAGCCTATCTAATGATGCTACTAAACTGATAGCATTTTAGGAGTAATCATGCTAAAAGGTGAACCTATGTGGCAAATTCCTTTTCTTTTTTATTGGTTGAAGATGTTCCTGATGTATTCATACACAAGTATCACAAAGAAAATTAGCCAGTCTTGTGATGTCTAGCTAAGTTAATGCAGGGTTTTCACAGGTCATGAAAATCCAGGAGCTTGTAAATAGATTTTTTAGTACAGGAAGTCTGGGAAAATCGGTGTTTTTTTTTATCAGGGGGTCCGATAGAAATCCATGAAAGTCTTAACTTCATCACTCTCACATTCCTGTTTGTATTGACATCAAGCCATACCATTGTTTACTTCAGTTGTGTGAAAACAATTTTTAAGAAATTTGACTTGTAAAAATGGGAAGTATGCTCACATGGCAACACTGATCAGTAACATGCTCTGAATGTTGTAATTCCATCTGCAAGCAAACAGGTGTTCAGTGACTATTGTTGATATAATATTCCACTAGTATCAAATAAACTCAAGACTTGCTTGGCAGAAATCTAAAATCATAAAATCGTTGATAAGATAAGGAAAATGAATTCTTCAGAATATTCCTAAAGTTTTTAATCTTGCATAAAATTTATCAACAAAATGAGAGAGAAATACTAATCCAAACAGTAACAGTATAATAGAATTAGTGTCATAAACCTAACCACCATGCATGAAAAGAGTCCAATATTTATCATTAAAGACAGTCTGGCAACTTATACCTGATTAGATCAACCATCATTTATAAAGTGATCAGTGGGATATTTTGAGCAGGATTTTAGGCCCCTCTACTAAATTTTTTGTGGACAATCTTCTGCTTTTAAAAACAAAGCAGGACTATAAATACAGTATTGTTATGTATTATTATTTCTTTAACAAACTTTAATGAAATTCTTTAACTAGTTCATGCTTTTACTTGTAATCATTATACTCTGTGGAAATTGAAACAAATGACAGAACCCATGATAACAAATAAAATTATTCAGAACATTTAGCCCTATCACCAATTTACAAGCTACTTTTATAATTATACTTAAAGAATAAACATGAAAAACAAGAAATAAAATACTTAACCAGTCTTCTTTTTTCTTGCTCTCGGGTTTCGAAAAGAGTTAACCCTAATTTTTTATACTAATGATAGTAATGCACTTAATTTTTATTTAATTTAATAATTCCTCAAAGAATATAGACTAATAACATTCAAAAAGTAGACAAATTCCCTTACCTCTCAAAATTCTTCTGGCTTTCTAACTATGTGACAAGAGCAGTTACAACTTCATCCAAGCTAGTCGTTAACTTTCCCACGGGAACAATGTTGGTACTCTGAGTGAAATTGACATCCAACTATTCAGAACATAGTATTATACAAAACATCATTTGATAGGTGAAAACCTTGACTTTCTGTTGTTTATAGGTAATATGTAGTGAAACGTAAAAGAGAACTATCAACAAATTCTGAAAGAGAGGATGTGGCAGGAGGGGTCTGATTTTCTATTCAATAGCTCTGTAACCAAACAAAATTGAAGACTATAAAAATTATGGTTTTCTCAACAATAATGATTTTATAGAGTAATTTATGCTTAATTTCGTTTCATACTTTTTTGAGGAGTAGTGGATAAAATAGGGATGATGACATACTAAGAGAAAATGTCACGTGGGTCACACTACTGAAAATTCAGGATTTTTTAAAATATTGCGTTGTAGAACTCAGAACTTAAAACTTGTATACTATTAAAATACGGATTATTAGCTTAGATATTATGCTATTCTAATTGGTATAACATAAACAAAAAGTAGTTTATGTTATACCAATTAGAATAGCATAATATCTTATGTAAGACACTAAAACTTTGTCATGTGCAGAAAGAATACCCGGAGTGATAGGGTTAAGCAGCCAATCAGATACAGGTTTGCTTGTTTTCTTACTGCCAAGTTAAAGTAATATTTTCAATAAATATTATTTAGTTTTGATTGCTCAATTGAGTAATTTTGTATCTCCAGCCAAATCAATGCATTTTGGTGAATGACACAAGGCTTTATCACTTGTTATTAAACTGAAGCTGGGAAAGTTGAAGTATACTGAAAGGAATAAATGGCAAAGAAGTTATTAATGCTTTTATTCTATGCAGTAATGTGTGGTTATTTATAATTTCTTTTAATAGGTTGTTTCATACTTTTTCTCTCTTTAATTGAATATGTATTTTCTCGATAGCTCAAGTGTTAGTCAAAGTATGCCAAGGAAGTTCAAATTCAGTCCAGCATCGCAGAATATAAACACTTATGCTACTTGTCTGATAAAAAATCTTCAGAATATTTACAGTGCTGAATGCAAAATATACGCACAAAAAAAAGGATGAAAGTTAAAAACTTCCATTTATCTATGTAGTATTGCTAGAATGTTTTATACAGTTGCTACTGCCTTTTTTTTTTTAAATGTGATAAAAAATTACTTATATAATTTTGGTACAGTTCACACTGTGTTAAAATCAGTAAATTATGTTCTTGAAAATGTAAGTTTGTCCTGGAAAGTCCTGGATTTTTTTCCCATTATTGTGTGTGAACTATGTTAAAGTCAAAATGACACAAACTCTGGCCTTCATTGTGTCTTTTAATCACTTTATTTCAATGTCTGTTGTATGTCCACTGATTACTTGATCAATTCAGTTTCTTAGCATTTAACTCTTTCAATACGGGGTTAGTCAACATGATGACCTAATAACCATTTTGTGCTTGTTATAGTTTTCATGCTATAACTTTTAAATTAGTTAGCGAATGTTAACGAAATTTGGCAGATTATCAGCAAACATTACAATGCTTTCATATGCAAAATATCAAATTTTTTTATAAAGTCATAAGGTTTCTAAAGCAATGTTTCTCTCATACCTTTTTTTTCTTTTCACATCTAGCCTATCTATCATGCAAAGTAATTTTCATTTTAAGATTAAAAATACTTTCATGCATCAGAAAATTTTGAAATTTCACATGCAAAATCTTTATAACGTCTGAATAGCTATCAAACATTTCTTAAGAAAAAACTTTATATTTTATCTGTAATTTTCAGTAATTAATCTCTGTACGGGTTTAGTAGATTTGAACGATCTTGCATCCACCATTAAAAATTAGGAAATAAACATAAGTTATGCCTCTTTCATTCTAGAATGAATACAAATTATAACACGAAAACATAAATGTTTAGACGAAATAGCTTAAATCTTATAACATTATACATTATAAGAGGAAGAGTTCTTCGACTTCATCTAATATATACTTGTTTTATTTTCTGATGAAAATGTGTCCTTTTTGTAGTCTTGATAAGTGCATAATTTATTTGAAGATGAGTTTTTGAAGCTTGATATATGCCACTAGTACATACACATTAGGGATGCCCAAACATGTGGAATGCACAAATGCAGGTTGTCAAAATCCATTCCTGTTATTGGCTGATCTTGGTGGTGTCAGCACTGACCCAATCTTCCAGTCTGATATTTCACTCAGGTCATAGGCTTAGGTACAGGGTATACAACATTACCTTTTTAACCAACTGAAATCAACATACATCACAGCCATTCTGGCACACTCGAGTTCTTTGTTTGAATGCACTTACTGCTGCTTTATGCAAAAATGCCAACTTGTAATTGAAGGTTTGGTAGCAGTTAATTATTTATTTTATTAATCTTAGAGATTATTACAACAAAAACAATATTTGATGTAAGTATTTAGGTTAGAGTCATGTACATGGAAATTCTTCATGAGGCATTACTTATCAAATATATAAAAATACATTAGTATATTTCATTCTTGAAAATGTGACTTGTACATAAGAATGATTTAAATAGATCTGTATATTTGACATTAGTTTTTTAATAATGAAAGAGTAATCATTAAATGCTTTGATTTTTAAGACGTTTCACATAAAGTTTTGTAATATCTAGAAAATCTGTGATGCTCATCATTATGGCCTTTAAATATAGTTGTATAGTTTCTTGTTTTTTTTTCCTCTTTGTACCTTGATCTTTGAATTCAGTGTAATATAAGTTTAAACACTTGGTAGAATCTTTGGGCTTAATATAAACATATTGTATACTTTGTGTCAGTGAATGTGGAATTCCAGCTGCTAGCCTACTTCATTTGCTCTGTGTGTGGTTGAATGTGGAATTCCAGCTGATAGCCTACTTCATTTGCTCTGTGTGGTTGAATATGGAACTGTAGTTGCTAGCCTACTTCATATACTGTGTGTGGTTGAATGTGAAACTTTAGTTGCTAGCTTACTTCATATACTGTGTGTGGTTGAATGTGAAACTTTAGTTGCTAGCTTACTTCATATACTGTGTGTGGTTGAATGTGAAACTTTAGTTGCTAGCTTACTTCATATACTGTGTGTGGTTGAATGTGAAACTTTAGTTGCTAGCTTACTTCATTTTCTCTATGTGGTTGAATATGGAACTTTATTGCTATCCTACTTCATATACTGTGTTTGGTTGAATGTGAAAGTACAGTTGCTAGTCTTCATAGTCATATGCTTTGTGTAGTTGAATGAGAAATTCTAGCTGCAAGTCTATTTAAACAGCTTAATTCTAAAAGATGTATAAAGTGATACAAATGAAATGCATAAATCATATGCACCAGATCAATGTCACATTATCACACAAATAAAATTATGCTACAGAAAAAGCTTGTTATAGATGTAAATTTATTTTCATCTTGAATAATAAATGGTTTGATGTAAGTAACTTAAAATGCTTCAGCAATATCTTGCCATCATTTCTTGATTCATTTCACTAGTAATGTTAGTAAACAAATGTGATTATTTTGTTTATTACTACTATTAAAACTTTTAAATACCTATTTTTGCAGGTGAAGTCATCTCCCATGATGGTGGAGAGAATCCATGAAAATGAAGCCAGGGTAAGATTTTGTTATTAAATACATAAGTTAAAACTCATTATTTCTACCACATATAATGTTTTGTTGAAAACACAGTAAAGATCAATGTTGTGATCAGAGTTGTGATCATAATATTTAGCAGTTTATACTAAATGTTGTTGTTTACATAATACCTAAGTGTCTTTGCATTAACCCATCATATGTACATGCATGATTGACAAATTTAAAACTATCTTTGTAATAACCCACTACAACAAGTAGTGTCATCATGGAATATAAATGGTCTTGACAGAAAACTGCTGAACCTCCAAGACTGTTTTAAAAGTAACCTGCTGTTATAGGATCTAAAACTGTGTCTGCATCTCGGACGTTAAATAGGAATCCACATAATAGATCTCAGTATGGTAATCCTCTACATCTACTTATCTCAGAATGAGAATCATCTGTATCTGTCTGTCTAAGATGTGAATCCTGTATGTAGACTTATCTTGGAACAAGCATCCTCTGTATTTACATGTGTCAGGATGAGAATCTTGTATATATCTACTAATTTCAGGATGAGAATCCTGTACACCTACTTATCTCAGGTTAAGAAACCTCTATATCTTTCTGTCTCAGGATTAGATTCCTGTATATCAATTTATGTTTCAGGATAGGAATATTCTATATCAATGTTTCTAAACCTTTTTGATACTAGAGACTGGCTCGCTACATTCCCTAAATTGTCATGGACCACTAAAATGCAAGTAGAAAGAAAAACAATAGTTATATGTAAATTGATAATTGTCATTTTTGTTCATTTGCTTTCATGAAATCCCATTGACCAGTAAGGTAGTTGTGACAGACCAGCACAGGTCTGTGGACTGATGATTGAGAAACACTGCTCTATATCTACTTGTTTCAGGACAGAATCCTATACATTTACTTATCTCAGTAAGGGAATCTTTTGTTTATACCTAGTTCAGGATGGGAATCCTCTACCAGTTTCAGAAGAAGATTCTCATAATGATAGATGACTCTTGGACTTACTGTAGATTTAAACTTAATATTTTATTGAAGAAATTAATATAATTCTTTTCATGTATTTATATTATCAGTTTAGAAAAAGGGAAAAGAGAGTAGTAAACATTGTTCATTATGAGGTAGAGGTTTTACTTGACAAAGAATACTTTGTTTTTAATATCTTTCTGTGTATTCTTATGTTGAATATAATGTTTCTTGTGGTTATTATATGTGGTGTTACTAACTTGCAATTTAAACAAATTATTTCATTAAAATTAAGATGAAGTATGAAAACATAACTAAAGTATAATGGTCAAAAAATAATAATGGAATTTATTATAAACTTATAATTTAATGAGACAATAGTATTCTATTAACCTGATGACCACCGGCTACTAACTTTCTGAGCAGCCAATGCAAGTCTTGCTATATTTCA